ATTCTACACGGCGCACGCCCAACTCCGCATAATGCTAACCGGCAACATTGTAGTCGAAAGGAAACTTTGCGCCAAAATAAACAATATCAATAAAATAAATGTACTTAATACACACCGAAGTACAGAGACCCTATCATGAGTATAAGTATAAGTATAAGTATAAGTATAAGTATAAGTATAAGTATAAGTATAAGTATAAGTATAAGTATAAGTATAAGTATAAGTATAAGTATAAGTATAAGTATAAGTATAAGTATAAGTATAAGTATAAGTATAAGTATAAGTATAAGTATAAGTATAAGTATAAGTATAAGTATAAGTATAAGTATAAGTATAAGTATAAGTATAAGTATAAGTATAAGTATAAGTATAAGTATAAGTATAAGTATAAGTATAAGTATAAGTATAAGTATAAGTATAAGTATAAGTATAAGTATAAGTATAAGTATAAGTATAAGTATAAGTATAAGTATAAGTATAAGTATAAGTATAAGTATAAGTATAAGTATAAGTATAAGTATAAGTATAGGTATAAGTATAAGTATAAGTATAAGTATAAGTATAAGTATAAGTATGAGTATAAGTATGAGTATAAGTATAAGTATGAGTATAAGTATAAGTATAAGTATAAGTATAAGTATAAGTATAAGTATAAATATAAGTAGCCAAGTTCCCAAGTTCCCACGCATATTTCCACTCTTACAAGCGCAATGATTTAACCCATTATACCTTGTGTTATACCCTAACTAAATGCTGTTTGTGTTAAAGTTTGCTCTGCAGCTGCACAGCTAGTCAAATGGCGAGTGTGTTAGAGAGTTGTGGAAAAGCTGTGGGCTGCGGGGTGACAGCTACCAACCGCCGCTAAACAAAAGGAAAACAATGTAATGGCGGCAAAAAAAAAATGTATTTATAAAAACCACGACGCACAGCAAGTACAAACAGGAGCAACTGCAGCAACAATAACAATGTCGTCCACCAGCCCAAACCACAGAGGACCAACAGCTGCCGCCCGTCTGGCCGTAGCAGCCGCTAACTGGTCTGTGGGTGGGCAGTTGCCAAATGAAAACAACTAAGCGAAAAGCCCGGGAATGGAAACAACTGAGCACCAGCTACAAAGTGGAACAATGCGACATGTTGCGCTCCAAAGATTTTGGCTAGCAAATCCCGCACAGACACGGACACGCACACACACACACACACACACACACAGGGCTTTGGTTGACCTTTGAAAGGGGGCATGTGTTTTGGTATTTGATAAGCATTGTATGCGAGTGTATGTGTGGGGGTTGGTGGGGGAAACGGTTGCTGCATCTGGTTATGCGGAACAGGATGCGTTTAGGCAATGAACTGGGCTTAAATTAATTTACGGAGAACACATTTTGCCAGTTTTTGAAAATTTACCGAGCTGCAATTGGCATATGAACTGCAGCAAATCGATTTGTCAAATAAAAGCCATTATAAAGCAGATTCCGCATTGCATCAAAGTTAAGAGAAATGCAGCTAAAGCACATTTGAATAACCAAAAGTGTTAACAATAGCAAATAATATAATGAACTGAATATTATGTCTCCATAAAAAGTAATCGTAAATTCTTGAAAAACCCCGAAATTTCCGAGCATATGATTCATGCAATTTGTCCTTCAAATATGCCCTTAAGATTAAATATAATAATATAAAATTCCTTTGATAAGAGCTTATGACAAGAGTCGAGTAAAACTAAACGAATCGTAAATAATGAAAATTTATAGATTGTGTTTTTTTCTTCTGATAATAACAGTTAAGAGTTTCTTATGGATTTATCAAATTGGGAAAGCGCATTGCAGTTTTAGGCAAAGTCTTAAAGAAGCCGTTTTTTTTTAAATAAGACAACTTCCTCTTATCTAAAAACATAAATTTAGTTCACATATTGTCTGGAATTAGTCACATTGCAGTGTGTAAGCAATGTTATCAGGCATTAGTAAAATATTTGCCCGACTCTCCGAATCTTATCTTGAATTTGAGGTACCCATAAAGTTCTTACCCTTCGGTTCCATCCCTCTCTCGCCGCTGATTAATCCAATGCAAAATCAAATTCCATTTGCAATATCTGACAGCTGTGTACAGTTAAAATTATGGACAATTCACCAATCACAATTCGCGCAGTTATTCAAGCACTTAAGACCCTGATTTTGATATAAAGAAAAAGAAACACACATATATACACACACACACACCCTTATCACTCCCAAAGAGCGCCCTGTAATTCGCACAAAGACAATATCATAAAAAGCGCCCAGACTTTACAGCTGCACATAAACTATAATTACACATTATTGTGCCGGTCTTATTGAGAATCAAATAATTAAAAGCAAAATGTGAGGAACCGGGAACAAACACCCGACGACTATTATAATAGATTTTACCCTTAAAGGCAAGATAAAAATACAAGAAAATGTCGGAAGTGCTGCACTACTAGATGCCCTGTGCACAAGTCCAAGCTAGTAAAAATAGATTTTGAAAATATGTAAGGAACTATCCCTAAGAAAAATCGCCTTTCAATGCGATTCTCACGAACTCGAGGTCTTTGAAGCAAGTCCAAGCCAGTAAAAATTAGCTCTAAAAATAGATAAATGAATGACGCTATCTGTCAATCGCCCTTCTATGCGATTCTCAATTCTATAAAGCAAGTCCAAGCTAGTGAACATTAACTTAAAAAGTATTTAAGTCATTAATATAGTAAATTTATTGATGTGCATCTAAAATATGCCTTCATTGGCTATTACCTGCTTTTTTTTAAAACATTTACGTAGGTGTTGGTTATCAAAAACACAAATTTGTTTAACAAAGCGGTATTCAGCGCCTCATAAAAAATGCACCCTAGAATAACAGAAGAAAGGGGGAAGCACAACGCCAAAGAGCAGCGTGCAAATATCCGTTGGGAAAAGCAAATAAATAACGGAACTGAGCACAAGGTAAACAATGAAAGCGATGCGCAGAATTCAGGTAAACTTTTGCCGCAATTGCAAAGTGTAACAACAGATGCAAAACTAGTTAACAGTTACGATAGAGCTAGACACTGGCCAACCGTAAGGCAACAATAACAGGAGATAGCACAGGTACAGTAGAGAACAAAAAAAAAGAAGAGTAACTAGTGGAAGAAATAGAAAAGTATAAGTACATATAGTAAGTAGACAACGGTAAACGATAAACAAAACAAAAGAGACTGCAAATGGACAAACAAATCCATGGCACAGACTGAAATGAAATGGAGCAAATCTTTTAGCGAAACGAAAGGCGAGGCTGAAAGTCGCTTCGTGGGCGGCGGCAATGTTGATAATGTTGCCCGGCGGTGAGCTGCACAGTCAGCATTTAGGGTGGGGGGGGGGCGTGCGGAATGGCGCAGCGTTTCGGAAACAATTTGAAGGCCATAAAAATTGATGTCGCGGCAGCCAGTAAAAGAGGCGTTCTGCGAGACAAGCGGGAAGCAGACAGCAAAAAGCAGCGCCGGGGGCTGCAGGCAGTGGGAGGTGTAAGGTATAAGACCTATGACAGCAATTTAGTAGTGCAAGTCGAAGACAAGGCTCCGTCATTTGGATGAGCAGAGGGTAAGACGTCTTCACTGCGACAGCAACGGTACCAAAAGCAAGCAAGCAAACAAATAAACATAAAGCAGCTGTTTCTTGGCGCCTTAGTGAGCGAGAGAGCGAAAGAGAGGGAAGGCAAACAGTGTGTGCGAGACAGGCAGAGCGCCATGGCGAAGAGAGCAAGGCATTTGCTTAGTTCGCTCTGCCGGTTGCCCACGCACATTTTTGCGACGCTATCAATCAGTGCAATGCATTGCACATACGCACAGTGGTACGACACTTGCTGAGACGTTAATTAATACGATAGTAGTATTCAGTTAAAATATACTTTTTCTGATTATTATGCGTATAATGTACGAGAAATGTTTAAATTTTGGCTAATTTAATATACTAAACATACTTTTAAGTCATTTTTAATAATTAGTATTGATAAAAATATTTTGATTATTTACCAACTATTGCAACAAGCTAATTAATTTACCGAGGATTCGAATAGTCAGTGCTATTTGTTGTCATTAATAATAATGAACTAAATGCATACATATTTTTAAAATTATTCCGCTTTGATTATGAGCGCTTAAAAACGCAATCAGTGTTTGCAACTACTGTAGCCAGTGTCAGAGAGCATCACACATAGAACATAGAACCTTTGCGATGTTTTTAACTTCGGCTGTGTTCGTCGCACGCGCTTGTTCTCGCTCTCTGCCATGCACTCTCTCGTTCTGCCTCGTTCTGGTACCTTCTCTCACTCTGGCACTCGCCGCCCACTTGTCAGTTGGCATTCACTCATTCATAGCTAGACTGGCGGCCTCCTGCCCCGCAAATGCCTGCCATCGCCTATTGGCAACGAGACGACGACGCCGCCGCCGACGCCAACGTCGACGTCTCTGTCGACTGCAAAACGACGCTGCGGCATTTTGGCCACGGCTTTGGCTCTTTGGGCGCTTGGCCATGTTTCAAGTGTTTCGATTGCGTTCAGTTACAGTTCTGTGGCTGCAGCGCTAGCTACAAAACGACGGACGCTTCCAATTGGACAAAACGGGCAGCGCTGTCGATGTGTTTCGTGTGTGTTTGTTACTCAGTATGTTTGCTGCCGCCGCTGCTGCTGCTACGTAAAAGTTAAGCGAGTCGCGGAAAAATTGTTCGAAGCGCCCTTTTTGTTGTTTCGCTTCAATTTTTATTACGTATACGCCGCGTGCTATACGGCATTTGCCTTCTGATATTTGCCATTTGTTTGGCAACTCGGTTGTCACAAGGCACGCCAAATATGAAGCCAGAATGAAAATGTAAATGCCAGAACCCAACAAAATGATAAAGCAACAACAGCGATAACAACACCAACAACAAATCAATGTCGATAAGGTGCCGCACGCGGCAAACAATTTGAAATTATTAGCAAAAAAAAAATACAAAAACAGAAACCAAAGTAAAATACGGCAAAAAAATATAGTAAAAAAATTCAATTGTAATTTTTTTCTACGCTTCGTTCATTTGTGCTTTGTTGTTGCTTTCCACGTGATAAACGCGGCCACCCAAGATAAGCAAAACGGTAAAAAACAACAACAACAACAAAATAATAAGATAGATCGCTGAATCTTTGGACATACGCTGGGGACGTATGCGGCGACGGCGACAATTCTAAACGGGGGGCAAAGTGGTCGCAAGTGGTTGCTTAAGTGTGCATTCGTTAGATTATTAAATCAATTTTAACAACAACAAAAAAATTAAAACACAACAATTCATGGAATAGATGTGAACGAGCAGCTAGCTAACTAAACAAAGCAGAATTCACAGGTAAAATAATAGATAATAGAAAATTACTGTTGCATACATAAATAATATGTTAAATATGCATTCAATTAAATGAAATCTCTCAGAAATTCATATTTCGCCAGACGAGCCAAAAGCAAGTACAAAAATTCTATTTGTATTTTTGGCATTTGCAACTTGATTTCCCAAAGATCCCGCCGTTGACAGCCATAAGTTCTCTTACACTATAATTACTTGGCCATTTAAAAAAACTCATAAATGCGTCAGCGAAATTGTTTTCTCTGATAACAACTTTTCGCACTGCATTTGTCTAAACAAAATTTATAACTGAAATGTATATGTATATGTATATGTATATATGTATATGTATATGTATATGTATATGTATATGTATATGTATATGTATATGTATATGTATATGTATATGTATATGTATATGTATATGTATATGTATATGTATATGTATATGTATATGTATATGTATATGTATATGTATATGTATATGTATATGTATATGTATATGTATATGTATATGTATATGTATATGTATATGTATATGTATATGTATATGTATATGTATATGTATATGTATATGTATATGTATATGTATATGTATATGTATATGTATATGTATATGTATATGTATATGTATATGTATATGTATATGTATATGTATATGTATATGTATATGTATATGTATATGTATATGTATATGTATATGTATATGTATATGTATATGTATATGTATATGTATATGTATATGTATATGTATATGTATATGTATATGTATATACATATACATATACATATGTATATGTATATGTATATGTATATGTATATGTATATGTATATGTATATGTATATGTATATGTATATGTATATGTATATGTATATGTATATGTATATGTATATGTATATGTATATGTATATGTATATGTATATGTATCTATTACAACTATTAGTTCAGCCCTCTTCAAAGCTGTTTTTTCATAAACTTTTCATTAAATATGTTTCATTCCCTCTTGATTTCATTAATTAATCCACAGACTAATGGGTTTGCTTTTAAGCTTCCTTTAGAGTCAACTGCCAAATGTGCTGATTACTTGATTTTTTCAATTGATTGAAAAGTTTTTGCCATATAAATCAAAAGCCATTTAAATGACAAGATATACGAAACAGGAATTGGCCAAAATAAACCATGTCACACAAAAAAGGTTGAGCTGCCAAATAAAAAGCCACTTGCAACAGAAACACACAGACCAAAAGGGCCAACTTTTTCAATTGGCTACAAATGTGCGTGTGTCTGTCTGTCTGTGTGTGTGTGTGTGTAAGTGGCAAGCCAAAGCACTCATCATTATCCACATGTGACCGGGGAGAATGTCGGTGTACATTTATTTGCCAGAGCCGCAAAAAACAATTTCTGCTGACAGCTCTCATAATTTATGGGCCACTTATTGATTACGCGGCGCTGTTCAAGGTTCCCAGCGAGTTGTCAGGTAAATTTTGGCAGCGACTTTAAAGATGATTATCGGCGGATAATCAGGCAATAGGCTGTCAACTGATTGCTCCGTTTGTGTGTCCCCACATAAAGAAAGGCGCACTTTTGTGTCCATATCATTTGGCAGGCCGAATTTCTACGCAACGCTGGCCAAGCGGAAATGAGCTGCGCTCTGTGGCAGCTTCCGGTCATATTGTTGTTGTTGCCGCTGCTGGAGACAAAAGTTGTTGCAGTTTTATGGCCAGAAATGCGGCCAACTGTTTTTGGCTAATCTGTTGGCCAATTTGTTGACCTCTTTATCCACTTTTATTTGGCAGTCGCCTTTTGTGGGCGTCGCTTTTGCTGGCCAGCTCTGAGCTTTAAAGGCTTAAATTTCTTATTATCTCCCCCCTTTTTTTTTTTTTATTATTCTTTGTTTATATTTTTAGGATTTGACGAGTGCCGTCCAAAAGTTTCTTTATCTCTTTTTTTAGTTATTTTGCATTTTGCTGACTTTTTTCTCTGTGCTCGTATTATGCTAATTGTGTGTTCTTGAGGCCCCCTCTTTGCCTTGTGTTGGCCCTGGGCCCTATATTCAAAGAGATTTTTACATTGCTGGCGCAATTTTTGTTGGTTACGCTAATTAGTTGCGTTAAATTTATGCAGATCAGCTTAGCTTTGCTTCTAAGCCGACAGCCGATTGTGCAGAAGAAGCTACACACAAAAAATAACAGCAAATAATGCCGACAGCTAGGCAACAATTTATATAGCATACTTTATGGCGTTGAATGCGATAAATTTGTTTGTCAGTTCGTGCCAGAAATCATTGTAGCAAATCTTCTAAAGTGATGAGTTTGGCTTCTTCAAAACACAGTTCTGGACTTTAGCATAAGTTAAGAACAACAATTTCCTGACAATTTTTCGCGTTTAGCAGCATTTGTCGTATTTCCTGGGCTGACATTAAAACTTTAAGTGGGATTAAAGTATCAAGCTCTATTAATCCTATACAATTGACTCAGATCAAAGCTTAATATATTGTTTAGCCTGAGGACAAATAATTAAAATTCACGCCAAATAAGCTTTACATATCCTTGTATTAGAGCTTTAAGGTTTATAGAAGCAAAGCTTTAAGCATGGTCATTAAATTAACAAAGATAAAAGCTTAATTTTTTGTTCTGCCTGTTTTAACAAAGTAAAATCCCCATATTAATGCTTTACTTGATAAGAACTTTAAGCCATATTAAAGCCTTAAGATATATAATCAAAGTGACACCGATTAAAACCTAATTTATATAATATAATTGCCTAAGCACAACTAATTTGGCTATATTGGAGCTTTAAGCTATATTAAAGTCTTAAGCGTGACGAATCATATGCAAGCAATCAAATTGACACAGAGATAATTAATAATTGTATTACTGGAGTACAAACAATTAAATTCAAAGCTAACTAAGCTCCAACCGTCCTCACATTAAAGCTTAAAGCTATATTGTTGCTTTAACTTGGAATAAAGCTTTAAGTGTGATAAATCGTATTGAAATAATCAAAATGACGCAGATCAAAGCTTAATTAACTGTATTTCCTGAGTTCAACTTATTTAAGTTAAAGCTAACTAAGCTTCAAATGTTTTTCTATATTAAAGCTTTAAGCTATGTTAAAGCTTTAATCATATTTAAATCAAAGAATTGACGCAGATCAAAGCTTAATAAACTTTATTGCCCGAGTCCAATTAGTTTAAATTAAAGCTTACTGAGCTTTACATTTTCTTCCATTAAAGCTTTAAGCTAGACTTAAGCCTTGAGCTACATTAATCGTACGCAAGCAGCACAATAGATCCCCAACTTTAAATTGTTTGGTGTTTTTCAAACTTCAGATGGCACTGATTTTATTATTACAACGTGGTTAAAAACTTTTTTACTCTATATTAAGTTTGTTAGTTAGCGCCCGCTTGCACAGCATGCAAACTATTTTAAAGTTCGTGAGTCTGTTGGGCATTCCGAGAAGTTGCCTCGAATGCATTCACATGCGGAACTTAATTAAGATCTCATGTTATGTGGCGAGGCATCTGTCCTGTGTCCCTCCGATGGAATCTCTTAATAACTTCTGTGTGCCAACTAATACCCAGAGCTCGCCCGTTTACTGCTCGACTATGCATATATAAGTAACTGAGCTATTAAAGCTAATCTGATGACGTTCTAAACTTCTCCTATATACTTTATCGTTTATGGGGCGATGCATTAAATTGACAGCTTAGCGGCAAAGATGATCAATAAGCCAATCCCGCATCGAATCCCCAATTGACAGGCGAGCTATCAAGTTTGAGGGTAACACAAAAATCTTTTTCTTGCTTATCACTTGAACCCACATTACGCATCAAATATTTATGGATCAACTTTTTATATAAACATATATTTATATATGTGTATTTACAAAGGCTGCAATGTAAAGCCATTCAAGTGTAAAAATGCTCGGGAGGAGCTCACACGTAGCCGACACACACACACACGCCCATCCCCACAATAATTTTGCGGAAAATGGCAAATTCGGCGCATGGAAAACTCATTTATCAAATGATGCCACAGCAACCGCAGCAAAACAACAGCCAAAACAACAACAATAACAACAAACAAATGATTTAAATTAATCCACTTTGAGCCACTCGAATGCCGCACCAAGGACCAAAAGGAGTATAAATATGTAATGCCAACATATACCTATATTAGGTATATATAATAAATATATATATATATATATAATATACATAATAGACGTGCGTTTATATTTGACAGCAGTTGATTCAGCGCTGAAATTGTGGACGCACGTAGACAATATGCCAAATAAATGTGAAGTATATTGAATAAAAAACTACGGCATTTTTTTATTATATCCATTGAACCCATTGAAAGTGTGCATAAGGGGTATATTGATGGTGTGCTCAGGTATGTAACAGACAGAAGACAGCATCTCGGATACCATAATGTATCCATAATTTGGATCAATAGCCAAGTCAATCTACCATGTCTGTCTGTCTGTCCGTCCGTCTTTAGCGTCTGTCCGTCCGTCTCTCCATCTGTCAGTCTGTCCTTCCGTATGTATGAACGCGTCAATCTCAGAGCTTTGAGCTATAAGAGCTAAAGATTTAAATCGTAGGTCCTTCTGTTGCCCGCGCAGTTTGAGTTTCTTTCCGATAATCGATAACTTGCCACGTTTTCAAGCAATCGATAAAAATCGATAACGAAATCCTGTTTTATTAGCATACATATATCTTAAGTTTTAAGAGCTATATTCACCGAATTTGGTATGTAGCTTCTATAATAGTATATACAGATGAAGTATCTTTAATTTTATAGCTGCTGCGTTCCACCTCTGTGCTCGTCGAAGAAGGTACAGGGTATAGCCTAGTCGGTCATCCCGACTAGAGCACTTTGAATTGTTTAAATTGAAATCGAATTTATTATGCTCTGCATTTCATAGCAAACATATTGTCATTACCATGAATTTATTGTGTTTGTTTGCTCTTTCAATTGAAAAATATGCTTATAATACT